CTGAGCACATGTAAGTGTAGGTTCACATGGGGTCCAGAAGAAGACATGAGATCCCCTGGGGCTGGAATGGGTGTCAGCTGATGTGGGTGCTGGGTACCAAAACCAGGTCCTCTGCAAGAACAGATTCCCTGACACTTTGGTGACAATCTCAACATGACCTCTCATTGGAGACCTCCCTTTTTTCCTGTTTAGATCTGTCTTTAGCTGCTGCACAGCCTATAATGTTCATTCTGAGCACAGAAGCCCATTACTTCCTACAGTCTTTCTGCAGGCCTGTTGTACTGTGGAGCACTTCTCCTTGGTGCCTTTCCCTCCTGCATCTCTTCCTCCTGCTTTGGAGTCTCTGAGTAGTCCCCGTCGCTGTGGGGTAGAGAAACTGTCCTACCAAAATGCTGGAATAAACTCTCGGTGTCCTCTGCTGAGGTTCTTGAGAAGCAGAGTGGCTGGCATTGATCCAGAGGCTAATAGTAGCTCCAGAAATTTTAAACAGAATGAATTTGGGACAGCAGCTAAGTTGAAGAGAGGTGCCACGGCATTGGTGTAGAAAGCACAGAGTTTTCTTTTGGGGGCGTGGGGAAGGTTTATGGGGGAAACAATTGTTGGTCACAGTTAGGGTCCTGTGAGGAGCCCACAAGGGGAAGACTTCTTGGAGTAGCCTTCTTCAGTCCCGGCACTTGTCCTAATACGTAGTGCATTTAGCCTTCTGTTCTGCGGTTCTCCCAACGCCACGGTTTTCCCTGGGTCCAGATGCTGACCACTGAGGGCTCCTTCAAGACCAACTTGCAGGGTCATCTTGAAGCATCATAGCATTCCGGAGTCCCTCGCCAGTGTGCCATGGTCACAAGACTAGCCCGACATGACTGGAAAGTTTCCTGACTGTTGTTTTTCAGAGCATGTGTGCCCCCTCCCATTTTTCCCCCTGCTGCCACCCTCCCAGAGGTCAACTTCTTTCCTGCCGCCTGGAGCTGAGGTGATATCCCCTTCCGGCTCCATTCAGCTCTAAAAGGATGTAGGGGTGCGGGCGTATGGGGAAGTATGGCCATCTGTCCTCAGAGCTGGGTGCTGTCACATTTACCTTGGCTTCTTTGTAAATGAACTCTGGGTTCCCAACCCCTCCTTGATAGCCACACTGGGGTTTCTTCAAGCAGAAGAGCTCAAGGTATTTTACAGCATTTTATTGAGCACAGCAGGAAAAAATTGTTCATTGAACTGTAACAGGAGGCCGGAGGCCATGTTGTCACTAAAACAGTGTAGCGGGGCGGAATGCGCCACAGCTCTGAAATTACACGGGTTGAATCATGCTCAGCCACGTGTTAGGTATGTGGCCTTGAGTGAGCCCCTTCATATTTCTGGGCCACATCTCCAATGGGGAGACTTGACTGCCTTTCTCAGAGATTCTGGATCGGTAGTAACTGCATTTGGAAAATTCCCTCTCACAGGAGGGTTGTTCTAATATCACTGGAAAGAAAGAGCCAGACGCAAGCATGAGACATCAGGAAGGGTCAGCTCACACTCTCTGAGCTTCATGTTGAATTCTAAACTTTGCAGAGTGCGAAGAATTAAGGATGGATGGTCTGAGAATATGGGTGCTGATAAGTAGCTAAAGGGACTGCATTCCTTCAGCCAGCAATCGGAGACATCATCTTGTAAGAGCTAGCATTCAAGAAGAACATATCCTGCAAATCAAATTATCTAGTTTCAACTATCCTCTGTATTTATTCTTTTTGCTTACCTAGCTTTAGTTTACTAAACTGGCCTGATCGTAGGAATCACAAAATAGGCATCTGTTTTAAACATAGATTTCTGACTTCCTAAAAATTTTGTTTATAAAACTTCGGGGAGGCAGACCAGAAAAAGGTACCCCAGATAACACTCACTCATGATTCAACTATTTGGATCTAGTTAGCCCTTGCTTTGGTGGCTCTCAGTCCTGACTTCATATTAGATTCCCCAGGGAACTTTCAGAGAAACATCTTTTAGCAAGAAACCCTTGCCTGTGCTTGGGAGGACTCAGCCAGGCTCAGAGAGTTTCTGGTGACAGAGTGGCTCTCTGACCAAATCTGACAGCGGCGGTTCATGTGCAAACCCGTTGATCTCAGTGATGACACTATGAAAATGCTTGCTGCAGTATAAGACGGAGAAAATGAAGTCAGCGGTTTGAAAACAAGATAGGGAGCTTTCTAAAGTCATTGAAGTTAGTCATTACGGAAATGCAAATCCAAACCACAAGGTAACATGTTGCATCCACTACACTGGTCATCTAGGTCGTGGCGGGGGAACAAACCCCAGAAAATCACACCTGCCAGTGCAGTCTGCTGGGCAGGTGAGATGGTGTTGGTTTCTGTAGTGAACACGTGGTGTTTTCTCAAAGTTAAGCACAGAATTTCCATGTGACCAAGCATTTTCACTCCTAAGTGCCTGCCGAGAAGAATTGAAAGCGGGGCGGGGAGGGGTGGATCATTCTGGTTAAAAGAAAAAGACTTATGACAGGCAGGCAGGCAAGGGAGAACGTGGCAGATGCAAGGGATAGCATTGAGTGTGTGGCTCGGTGGAAGAGTACAGATGCAAGATGGCCCCTTACCAGCTCAAGATTTCTCTCATAGATGTTTCTTCTTCATTCCTTCCTTCTCCCACTCCCTCCCCACCTCTTCTCTCAGTTGCTGGGGATTGAACCCAGGGCTCCATGCATGCTAGGCAAGCGTGTGTGTGTGTGTGTGTGTGTGTGTGTGTGTGTGTGTGTGTGTAGGAGGCTGGGCACAATGTGCCACACTGGGTATATGAAGGCCAGAGGATTACTGTGGGATTTACTTCTATCATTCCATCGTGTAGGTCCTGGGGACAGAACTCTGGTGGCAAAGCGTGGCAGGAAGCACCTTTTGCCCACTAAACCATCTTGCTGGTCCATGAAAGTCTTGTTTTATTACATTCATTTTACTTCCCAATCTACATTACAAAGTCTTCGAGCACAGACGTGTATATATTTTATATTGTGTACATTAAAATTTTTATAATTAAGATTTTCCGTGATGTCATTTTTTGAGTCAACAAAAAGATGTTTGAACACCTGTTGTTTTCATGTCTCTTGACCACGTACTCTGAAGGGGAATGGTGGGGTAATATGGTAATTCTCTGGTTAGCTTTAGAGGGAACACCAACCGTTTCCACAGCTGCCCTACCATGTCACATTCCCACCAGCTTCTCTACGTCCTTGCCAACAATTGTTATTTTCCACTTTTTTGATTGCGGCCAACCTGGTGAACATAAAGCTCACTGCAGTTTTAGTTTACATCTCCCCAGCGACTAGCAAGCAACGTTTACATTTACAGATCTCTGTTCGTTCCACTGCCTCTGTTTCCCACTTGTTACACTGTAATAGCTTACTTCTCAGGTTAATTGTATCAGCACTGATGGCCTTCACGTATCACAGCGCCTCCTTATAGTAAATTCTGTACAAGGGTTAGAAAGAAGGACCTGAACTAGACAAGACCCAGGAAAGGGTGTTTGCTGCACTTCCCTTTCCCTTCCCCGACTTAAAAGGCCCACACTGACGTCACTCATTTTCCTGAAGGCCTCACATGCGCATCTGCTTCAGCATCTTAGCCTGCGCTTGCGGTTCTTTGCCTGGTTCTCATTCAGCTCTGAGGTCTCAGCTGCAATGATGATCTCTTCACTGTGGAGGCACCGTAACACATAAAGAACAGGACTTTGCTGCCGGGAGGTGGTGGCGCACGCCTTTAATCCCAGCACTCGGGAGGCAGAGGCAGGCGGATCTCTGTGAGTTCGAGGCCAGCCTGGTCTATAGAGCTAGTTCCAGGACAGGAACCAAAGCTACAGAGAAACCATGTTGTGGGAAAAAGAAAAAAAAAAGGGTAAGGTTTTATCTCTTACACTTGGAACAGAAACACCTCACCTGGGCTTCATGCTTTAGAATAAGCCATATGTCATAGCCCTGATGTGTCTAACACCCTGTCCCTTGGCACTTAATTTTTGGTGTTGATAGAGCGGTTAGTAACTGCTGAACATACATTCCTGAGAGATCAGACTCCAGGAAAACATTTCTTTATCTTGCCCTAAGTCTTTATTTAAATTGATAAAATAAGATATATTTTGGTCTATCTTGTAATGTTTTGAAGTAGGTATACATTAAAAATAAGACGGGCTGGAGAGATGACTCAATGGTTGCGCTCTTCCAGAGGACTAGAGTTTGATTCCCAGCACCTAACTTGTAACTTATAACCATCTATAGCTCCAGTTCCAGGGGATCTGGTGCCATCCTCTGGCCTTTGCAGGTACTGCACACATGTGGTGGGCAAGCATTCATACACACTAAATGCCAATACACATAAAATAAAGAAAAATTAATTTTAAAAATAAGGACCATCTTATAAACTCCATGCAATCCTTGTAGGGTGGAGGGAGGCACACTAATCTTTGCTGGTGTCTGAGTTTGGTGTATGTGCTTGCCAAAGCAAGCATGCCCTCTGTCTTCAGCAAAAGTTGATGCCTGGTTGTCCTAAAGGCTGTGGGTTGGTGTGAACTAAAGGCAGGCATGGATTTGGAGTACAAGGTAGAACTGAGTTGTCAAAATGCTTAGGACAAAAAGACAAGGGAAAGCCTGTCATACCCTCCCTTTGGGTAGAAAGAGGACAATGGTCCTTGTGAGACGTGTTACCTGCTAGAGTCCTGAACATCCATTTTCTTGAAGGGCTTTGAGTTCTAATCCCTGGCTTGGGCTACTCATGAGTTAGTGTAGTTTTTCCAATATTGCAGAATGGCCAAAGAACATTTCTTAGTATTAAACATTTTATTCAATTCTGAAATTTTTATATTCGTAGATCTAAAAGTAACATATGCAAAGGCGCAATTTCATTCTTGACAGTGTGCCAGGCATCAAACACAAGAATTTCAAGTTGTTTCATTTCAATTAAATATTTATAGTTCCAAAAACATTTGGTGAAATGTTCAGCTCTTGTTGGAAGAAAAGAATACTGAATCAGAGGTGGTGGTGCAGGCCTTTAATCCCAGCATTCAGAAGGCAGAGGCAGGCGGATCTCTGTGAGTTTTAGGCCATCCTGATGTAGACAGCAAGTTCCAGGACTTGCCTGTCTTCTGGTTCCCCCTTCTGTCTTTTAATGGGGTAACTGTGTGATATTTTGACACATGTATTCACGGGACAATGTCCAAATCAGCTTAAATGTGTCTATTACCTCAAACTCTCTTCTTAAAAAGTCATCAGTAAGTCAAGGATGAGGCTCAGTCCTGATGGCCTTGTCTAATCCTAACAATCCCACAAAGACAGACCCTAATCAGTTAGGTTTCCTCCCTCGGAATACTTTTCTCATAGGATTAAGTTCACAACCGACAAATGTGGGGGACACACTCAAGCCTCAGTGGTTGTTACGGGAATTAAATAAGACATCAGTGGGGAGGAGGTGACACAGGGTCAGAGGATAATGGGGAGTGTGGGAGCCACTGTTTCCTGCTAAATGTGGAACCCACTCAGAATCAAGTTCATCTCTGTAGGAAGGAGTAACAACGGCATAGTCACAGGGCTGAGATAAGGTGTAAGGAACTGCTCTGTAGGGCTCTGCACAAAAGTGAAGGGTTATTTTTGTTTTTAAGCTTGCCCTCCAACAAAAGCTGACTAAGAACTGAATTGGCCAAAAAGAGAGAGTGAGGGAAGGAATGTGAATCTTAACAAAAAAAAGCTTGACTAATTCGCACACTGTTTCTAACACTGACAATTAAGCCAGAGCTGCAAGGAGCAGTTCACATCTGCACAGCCACGGGAGGAAGGCAAGGACTCCAGAGGGAGGGAGAACGGGGCTTCTGAGGGAGCAAGGAAACCCAGTGCCATCAAGCCCGTAGGAGACACGAAAAAGTCTCGCTCGGAGACTTGTGACCTCCCCTTGTGACCTCGACTCCCTTGTGAGCCACAAAGCACAGATCCTGGCCCTGAGTCAAGAAACGCTGCTTTCCAAAGCCCCCCACCTGGCAGCTACTGGGCAGAATCAAACCGCCTAGGGTTGGAGTCCAGAGAGAAGGCAGGAGCTCTGCTGTCCTTCAGTGAAGGCTGCCTCCCCTTGCCTCTCTTACCCAGGGAAGAGCAGCCCCTCGAGCACCCCACCACCACCTTGCCCTCCACTTCCCCTTGGTCATTCTGAAACAGGATATGGTGCCAGGGCCAAGGCTCTGCTGGTTCTGGGCTCCAGTGACAGGCTGTGCCAGGGAAATGTTTTCACAGATTAGTGCCTCCTTGGGTGGGGTCACCAGAGCAGGTGGCAGGAACAGGGCAGGGAAGGGAGCAAAGTTCCAGGAACCCAAGGAGAGCAGCTTGCGTTTCCAGGCCCCAATGTCTGACCCAGGAGTTGTGGGGCGGAGACTGTGAGAGGCACTGGTTAGAGAGCAGCTGACTACACACACTGACAGTGCTGGTGGGAGCGTCTCCGTCTGACCGAGTTACTCAGGTGTGGAAGAGGCTGGAGAGGGGAGGAAGGTAGCAGAGGCAGGTGAGGCAGCTTCCACATCCAAGAAGAGAGTGGATGGCAGGAGAAAGGAAACTCTAGAAGGCAATCCAGCTCCAGTACCCTAAGTTAACGTTCTATCTAGATAAAACCCTCCTGAGATTTTTTTTTTCCCCCAAAATTTGCATTTGTTAAGGCAGGCTGGGAAAGAGGACTAGTGAGACAGGCCAACACCTTCTATGGCAGGACAGAGGCAGCTGAGGCCACTCAGGGGAAGAGGACAGCTGTCGTCATAAATGACAGGCTGGATTCTGCTCATCTCCTCCTCCTTGGAGCTTGTTCTCTGGCGAGTGGAGGAGGGAGTCAGGCAGATGAACTCCATCCGCAGTGCAAGGTGGTTCCACCAAACCTTTCGTCAATACCAGCTCTGTCTCTCCCTGTAGGTTTGTCCTGCCCAGGGTCGGGCACCCCTCACCCACTGCATCCTGGCCTCAGAGTTCATGCACATGAGGAACTGGCTCCTTGTAGGTGTCAGCATTCTGGATCAACTCAAAGATGAACTTCACCTGGTTCTCGTAGTTCCGCACGGAGATTTTCTCGTTGATTCCATGGATACTGAGGGAAGAAGCATTTTGGGGGGAGGAGATAAGGGTCAAATGATGTATGTAGCACAAGAGCTGGCACAGAACACCCTTCCTGGTCCCCCCCCCCCCATATGGCTGATCTTCGGCTCTCCTGGGGGCCAAGGAGATCACTTGTCAGCTCATGTGTGACACACCCATTATTTCTCAAGGACCCGTGCTCCTGCCTAAGAACAGTGGGGAAAACAATGAATAACTCCCGGGGAGTTTAGCCTAGTCTTCTCTTCTGAGGTCGGTTCTCCTCTGGTAGAATTATCTTCCTGATTCTTATGTTCTTAGGATAGAGTCTCCTGCTAGAGTTTTTCCTAAGGTTTTGCTCACCAGGGATAAGGGAGGGCAGGAAGGCAACAGCCCAGGGCACCTTTCCAGCCTCTACCTAGGAACCTTGCTATCAGATCTCATGTTTACCCTCAAAGTGCAAAGATGACAGGAAACAGAGGGGACAAATATGCCCAATTTTAACAACTCCCCAAACATAAATACTATGCTTTTTTTTTGAGACAGGGTCTTTCTATATAGTCCTGGCTGTTTGGAAGCTTGCCATTAGACGAGGCTGGCCTCAAAGTCAGACAGATCCTCCTGCCTCTGCCTCCCTTGCCATGCTCAGTGAAGGCCTTTTTTTTTCTTGGTTTTCAAGACAGTGTTTCTCTGTGTAGCCCCAGCTGTCCTGGAACTCACTCTGTAGACTATAAACCAGGCTGGCCTTGAACACATAGAGCTCCACCTGCCTCTGCCTCCCAAGTGTTGGGATTAAAGGCGTGCGCCACCACTGCCCATAATGAGTGCTATTCTTAAAATCGCATTCAAACATTTTCATTCTGTTTCAAGCGACTTGTGGTGTGGCAAAGAAATCAGGTCTGAGGTAATAGTTTGCAGAAGGCTAAATGGAAATTATCTTCTCAAATTTCGAGAGTTAAAATTGCCTGAAGAATCACAATAACGGTCATACTTGACAGTTAAAATTGATACTCACATTTTGGATTTCCACAGTATTTCTTCTGAGAAGGCCAACTAACATGCTCACCTTTAAACTTGTGTGTGTTTGCTTATCAAAGAATGTTGGAGGGTCTCCTTATTTTATAGGTGGAGGAAGTGAGGTCCAGGGATGAGCATTCTCTCAAAGTGAGAAAGGCTACCTAAGGATCCCCTTCTTTCCTAGACATGGTTTTGTCACATAGCTCAGGCTGGATTTAAGTTTGGCAATGCATTAGGCTGGAGAGATGGCTCAGCAGTGAAGAGCACTGGGTATTCTTTCAGGACCTGGGTTTGAGTCCCAGCACCACATGGTGGCTCACAACCATCTGTTCTGGGGTGTCCCCTCCCGACCCTTAAAGGCAGTGCATGCAAATGTTATATAGCTATATAAGCAAACAAAACATTCATGCATAAAATAAGAATAAATAGTTTTTTTTAAAAAAAATGGTCATCCTCCTGTCTCAGTCTCTTAAGTGCCAGGCTTATAGGCTACTACATCCAGCTTTACCCAAGGATCTTCTTCCCAACAAGCTCTCACCAGTCACTTGACTCTCTCCACTTGTTAAAAGAGGACTGTGCATGGGGGCTACCCTCACAATTCCTGGAGCCACGATGCCAACTTGGGTTCTAGAATCTCTCTAATTTGTCAAAACCTGGCTTTTCTCTATTCTGTAAGTCACCCAAACGGGAAGGGACAGTTCAGATACATCTCTCTGCCTTGCTGCTTAACCCTGTTCCACTTACCTACTGAAGCCCTGAGGCTGCAAGAAAACGGGGTTGAACAGATAGATGCCGTTGGTGAGGTTGGCGTAGTGCCGGCTGTCTGTGTTGGCAATGCAAATACCTAGAAGGAGAAGAGTGAGAGAAAATGGGCTTCGTGTGAGCCACCTGTCCAGTGATGTAGGGAAAGCTGGGTGACTGACTGGGAGCCAGTTAGGATCTTGGGTCATTGTAGAGTGATAACTGGGATGTCCTAAGAGCATCTGCCTAGGTCTCTCCCCCTACACCTCAGACAGGGTTTCTCTGGTAACCCTGGCTGTCCTGGAACTAGCTCTTGTAGACCACGCTGGCCAGGAACTCCGCCTGCCTCTGCCTCCCAAGTGCTGGGCCTAAAGCCATGCACCACCCAGCACCTAGGACATTTTTTATTGTCTAAGTTGTCTAAGTTGCCTCTTTTCAAATCCTTACAAAAACTGTAACTGTACCCAGGAACATGGAACCTCCTGGAAGCATGGGTGAGCTATCCCGAGTGGCCCAAAGCTAAGCTGCTCTCATTCCACGATGGCCAGGGAGACTTTCCACTTTGTCCTCCCAGCCAGGGCCATATGCTGTGTGAGGACTCGCAAGTTCAGAGAGATCATTTATTCTGCATCACTTAGGGCAGAAGCCAACAACCGTGGGGGCATTTTACTGAGGAAAATAGAGCTGTGTTCTGCTGGTCTCATCTTCTGAGGGAGGCAAAGCTCATGTGGGAAAGTCCCAGGAAGCCCCCCCTGGATTGGTCCCCTAGCTGGGCTTGGATTCGCCTTGGCTAGGCAGGCCCTCTGGGGAAAGCCATTCCCAGCCTCAGTGCAAGGGTGGCGAGACAGGGCAGGATGGTATTTTGTGTTTTGTTCTATTTTCCTCTTCTCATTTCCAATGGGTACCTGGGTCTAATGCCATGTGTTGTGGATTTCTTCCTGTTAACTTTCTCTACCCCCATGGCTCTCTGACCCTACTGCTGGGATGATGGCCAGGGGCAAGGATAGGGTAGGGAGAGCCTTCGAGGCTGAAAGAGGAAGATATAGACTGTGAGAACCAGGGTTCCTAAATGTTCACAGAAAGCCACAAGTTAACCCACATAGAGGGAACTGGACATTTGTCCACACATGAAGACCAGAGACCTGGGAACTGCTCAGTCATCACTGCGCCAAAATCCTCTGGTAACATCTTTCAAAAAGGCAGATTTCTGCTGGAAGATGAGGGTGGGTCCAGGTGTTTTACATTTTGTGAAGTTCCCTGGAAGGACTACTGCCAGCCTTAGATGGCACTTGCACAGGTGGGGGAAATGCCGAGGGGCCTGCAGGCGTTAGACCCCGGAGGAGCACTGGTGAGGCTGTTCTGGGCGGTCGTTCCGAGTCCTGCTACTCAGCCGTTACTCTAGGTTGGTGACAAGGTAACTCCTCCAGGAGAGGCATATCCTAAGCCAACCCCTCTTCTATGCCAGAGGGACACAGAACGCTACTGCCCTAGGTTAAGCAAGGACCCATCCTCGGCTGACCTAATTTATTGTTTCTGTCCCTTTCCTGTTTCCCTTCTCACTTCCACCCCGGGGGGAAAAGTACAGTTCCAGCCACAGAAGCAGCCAGCTGTTTCCAGGATGAATGGCTGGGTTGGGGGCAGGGAAAGGAATATCAGATAGGAGGCGGTCCCGGCCACCACCACCCACCAGCCACATCTGATGAAGCCATTACCGGGGACAACAATATCGACTTCCGGGAAGACAGACTGTATGGTCTGTTGAAGCAGCTGGTAGCCTATGGCCTTGGCATCGGAGGGGCTGAAGGGCAGGGGCTCAAAAGACCTCAGCACATGTAGCTGGACTCGGTCATCAGCCACGATGTTCTTGACAAGTTCGAGGACCTTCAGGGTAGAAACCAAGAGGGTTACAATTCTCGCAGATCTGCTACGTAAGCACCAAGTTCAGATCTTTCGTTTCAGCAAGGTTGCACTCTAGAGGTGAGAGCAGAGACTTGGTTTTTGCAGCGGGACCCCAGCTTTTGCTGCCTGGCTGTGAGTGATGTAAGAGCTGGCACTTCCTAGAAAGCATGGCAGAATTGAGCTTAAGTGTTTAGGAGGATTGTCTTACAGCTCTGAGCCAGACGGGGAATAATCCGGAAATAGTTTTTTTCCCCTAGGATCGTGTGAGCCGTGGGCTTAGGTAAAGCATACGAGATTGTAGGACGAGAAGAATCTCAGCCATCTCGAGAGGATGAGCTGCTCCAACCTGAGAGCCTTGGGGTGGTGACACAGGCTGCAAAGGGCTACACCACACAGGTTTCCTTTTCCTCTCTTGAGCTGCTGCCTGTTTGTAACCAAATACACTGAGCAGAAAGATGAGCTCACATGCACACAGAATCAGGAGTGTGGTGCTGTGGCTGAAGGTTTCCCCTTTGCCTCTTTTTATTGAGAAGGACCATGAGGAAATTCCCAGAAGAATCGAGCCTGAGGTGACTAGGGGGTGTCCAACGGAAATCTCTGGTCCCAGGAAGGATGGAGAATGCACCAGGAGGCTTCCAGTGGTCCCCCAGCCCAGTCAGCTGCAGAAGGCAAACCTCATTTGAGCAGTGGTTAGTTTGAAGCTGCTCCTGTCCTATGAAGGGCTGTGTGTCACAGCTGGAGATCACCCGAATGAGAGCACTAACCGGAGAACTCATTTTAGGCCAATGGCCCCTAGATGTATGGCAGAAGCTACATCTGGAGGGTACATCTGCAGTGAAGGCTCCCACTTCTAGCTCAGAAACTCCATCGGAATCAAAGCAAATGCCCTTCAGGGAGGGGTGAGGGTCATAAGAACCCATTTTCAACCAGAGATCAGTTTCATCCCAGCACTAGTGAATTCACCATGGGTATGGCTCAGTGGTAGAGTGCTTGCCTAGCATGCACAAGGCCCCAGGTTCCAGCCTCAGTACCTTAAAAAGAAGTATATCTAGTCCTCACACATTGTTTTACCCAGAGCAAGGCTCCTAAGTTATCCCTTGTGCAGTAGAGAGGCGTTGTGCCTGCTGATTCTGGCTTCAGCCACTCCCGAGGTGTCAGCATCTGGAAACTGAAGAAGGTATGATGACTGGGTCCTTTCAGTGAGAGGCCGGAGCCTGATCCCCAGGCAGGGACCATGTCAGCCTCTCTCCCTTGTCTACAGCATTGAGCAAGTAAAAAGCAATAATGTTGGCTACTTGAGCTATAAATGACAAGAACCAACGAAAATGATAAGAGGCGTTGTTCCCCTAAGTACCTTGTCCATCCTATACAGTTAGGAGTACTGGGCTGAACGTCTACCTGATTACCTAAGGAAGGTGCTCTGCAGAGGCCCGAGTACAACCGGAAGTGAGGATTAGAAAAGCATTTTTCTTAGATGTTAAGAATTTCAAGTTTGAGGAGAGGATATAGTACTGGTAGGGAAAAGGAAAAAAGATTCCTAAGGTGGAGAAGGATGGGTTAAAAAAATGAGGCATGACAAAAATGTTGTGCTCTGGATAATTCCGCACAGTGGAGTGACTTTGGGCCAGGCCCCCAGACCTCTCTGTTACCAGGAGCTGAGATTCTTTTCAGTGTTTAAGATGTGTCTAGTAGTACGTCCTGCTCAGTGCAGTGTGCACAGTGTGGGAAGAGAGGAATGGGGTTAGGTGTTACAGGAAGCCACGCCCCAAATTCATCACAAGGAAGATATTCATATCAAGATGCTAAAAAGGGGGACAGTCTCTGTTGAGTGGCAGCTTGTCGTGGGTCTTCTTCCAGAAGCAGCCTATACAGCTGGATGGAAGCTGGAGTCACACCAGAAAGACCTGGTTAAATTTTAAACAGCCAGTGTTCTTACCGTCAACAAAGAGAACACACAAGTAATTGACACATAAAAGAGACACCATAGACTGGCAATGTGCCGGGACTGTAGATGGAGAATTGAAAGGCCAGGCTCTATAGCACCCTTGGAGGCCGCTCTCTCCACTGGTAGTCCCTTCTTCTAGTCCGTTATTGCTGGAGGGGTCGCGTTCCTTGATCACAAACAGACATTAACAGTTATTATAGTCTAGAGTGGCCTCTGACTTATTATCTTGTATCAGACCTCTGGAGGACAGGGATAAGGTCTGTTCTGGCTGGGTGTGGTTGAGCATAGCTTTAGTTCCAGCAGAGGCAGGAGGATCTGTGAGTTCAAGGCCAGCCTGATCTACAGGTGACTTCCAGACCAGTGGGGGCTACAAATGAGACCTTGTCTTAAAAAAATGGCCTGCCAATATGTCCTGCTAATACTTCACTGCCCCTGTATTAACTCTGCTCATGTTCCCACTGTCGCTCCACAATCACTGTGTGACCCAGAAGCCCATTACCTTTATACTACTTACCGCTTATGTTACTCTGTTCATTTGTGTGATTGCTTGCTACTGCCCCTTCTCACTGGACCGCAAGTCCAATTAGAGTGGGAATCTTGTCTTTCTGAATCACCACTATCCCAAGTGTTTGGAAGAATGTTTAGCTGGGTCTCCACTAAACATGGGGCGGGGGAGGGGGGAGTCTGAATTCTAGCTGCTTTGGAGGGTGACAAGTTCAAGGCCAGCTTGGGCAACTTAGCCAGGCCCTGTTTCAAAATAACAAAGTCAGAAAAAGTGGGGAGGGGTCTTGCCTGTGTGTGTGTGGGTCCAGCCGCCTACCTCTGTGTTGTGAGGAAGAACAGATGCAGAGAGAAGACGAGAACTGTGGCGCCCACGCGTGTTCCCACTGGACTCAGCATGACGCTCTGAGCTTTGGCCCCTGGACAAGAGTGACCAGGACAAATGGTCCTTTGAGCTTCCTAAAGAATGGAGGTTTTCCAGGATAGCCAAAACAATCCTGGGCAATAAAAGAACTTCTGGAGGCATCACAATCCCTGACTTCAAACTCTACTACAGAGCTACAGTACTGAAAACAGCCTGATATTGGCATAAGAACAGACAGGAGGACCAATGGAACCAAATAGACGACCGGATATCAATCAACACGTCTTCGAACACATGATCTTTGATAAAGAAGCAAAAAAATATCAAATGAAAAAAAGAAAGCATATTTAACAAGTGGTGCTGGCATAACTGGATATCAACATGTAGAAAAATGAAAATAGACTCATATCTATCACCATGCACAAAACTCAAGTCCAAATGGATCAAAGACCTCAACATAAAGCCAGCCACACTGGACTTCATAGAAGAGAAGGTGGGAAGTGCACTTGAACGCATTGGCACAGGGAACCACTTCCTAAATAGAAGCCCAGCAGCACAGACCCTGCTTTCTACGTTCTACTTCCCATGGAGATTATATCTATGTGAGTCTCTCTTAGTGTCCTCATTGCTGTAGAAAAAGACAAGATCTCCTGAGTAAATTGGGAGCATGGGGACCTTGGGGGAGGATTGAAAAGAGGAGGGGAGAGGCAGGGAGGGGAGCAGAGAAAAATGTAGAGCTCAATAAATATCAATAAAAAAACCTCGTAGAGATGATGAGTGAAAAGCCCCCTCCCCCCCAAAAAAAAGAATGGAGGTTTTCCAGTCTCACTGGGGCAGGTGGTCAGGATGAGTTCAGGAGATTCCAGGAATGTCATCAGATAGACCAGCAGGGAAGACCTTTTGGCTAGGAGGACAGAGTGTGCCAGGACCAGGGGGATGAAAGCCCTAATGGGTGGAAAACAGCCTTTGGAAAAGGATGGAGTTTGAATGGGCTGGGGAAAAAACGGGTGGAAACCTCAGCTGATTAAATCCAGTGATTTCCTGGAGCTATGAGCCTCCAGGGAGAGCACAGGGTTGGCACCTGCTGAACAGCAGCCGGATCCAGGATTCACACTGAGCTCAGACCCTTCCCCGAGGCTAGGCTGGCTGTTAACCCACTGAGTCCATGAGATCACCAGGCCTATATAATTGGTATAGATTCTTGTATATTGATACAAGTTCAAATTATATTTGTTATTTCTGTTTACAATATTTATACACCTATGCAAAGTTATTTTGTCAGATTGTATGCATGCATGTTTCTACCTCTGTTTAAGACATTTTGTATACTGATACAATTTTTAGGATATATTTATCATATTACATTATATATTTCTACCTCTGATCAAGATACTTACATTTTGAGGTTATTGTCCTCTTTCACTGCACAGTTGTTTACAGATTATTTAGTATTCTGATATGAAGTCTTAGTCTGAGAGAATGTTGAGCACTAAAGACACTCCACTTGGAGTTTCTTTTATTTTTGTCACAACTGGTCCTTGATCAAGAAGCTGCCCATGCCTCAACCACTGACAAAGTGTATGGTGTCCAGACTAAATAAGCAGGACACACACACACACACACACACACACACACGACTGCCAAACCTTACCAAGATATGGTAAGACAGTTCTAAAAATTTTCCTGTCTCTAAAAATGGTCTATCAGTTACTCTAGCCCTTAGCCAAAGTTGGTTGCTTCAACATTGCAAATGAGACTTTGGGTGATTGCCCAAGTAGCCAGCTGTCTCTGTCATCTACTGAACATTTTGGAAGCTGCTTGATTGCACTTCCTGCCTACTCAAGTAATATTATCTCCCTTCTTAGGCCTTCTATGGGGTTAAAGATTAGATAAATGTAGTTATCTTCCTCTTATGATTTAGCCAAGTATTTCCAATGCAAGACTTAGACTACTTAGGATAAAACATTTAGCATATGTTCCTTGCTTAATATTGTTTATGCTGGTTGTAATCCTAATTTTATACTTGATATTTGTTCCTAGTATGTATAGTTTTGTATTGGGTTTGAAACTCTCTTATTTAGACAAAATGGGGAGGTGATGGGGAACATCTTTCAGTCAATGACCTTTAAGAGGCTAGACCAGGTTAGAGTGTGACCTTTGGGTACCCAGAGAAAACCACCAGCCCACCCAGGACTCTCTCTCTCTCTCTGGTTCCTGTGTTACACACCTGAGGTTGGACTTTTCATTCCTGTTCCATGAGTTTGCCCCTTATAATAAAGAATTATAACTGGAATCTTTTGGAGTTAGCTTGGGATTCTTTGACCTGCATCCTCATCCCCTTTTAAGTAACAGGAAGAACTCTCAAAAACTAACAAGTAGAAATCTAGGTGTGTCTGACCCTTAAGGAGATGGGCCAGGGTCCCTACTGTGTTCTAGAATGTATCTCCCAGATGCTTGGTTGCCCTCTTGGGGTTTTGTTTCTTGCTGTTGCTATTGTTATTTTGAATGTATGTGTATGTGTGCGCATGTGCATACATATTCCTGTGCATGTGTGATATACAGATCAGAGGTCAATGTTGGGTGTCTTTCTCTATTGTTATCTGCCTTAGTTTTTTTTTAAAGTATTTTTTTTAAATTTATTTATTTTGTATACAACATTCTGCCTTGATGTACGCCCACACGCCAGAGGAGGGCGCCAGATCTCAGTACAGATGGATGTGAGCCACCATGTGGTTGCTGGGAATTGAACTCAGGATCTCTGGAAGAGCAGCCAGTGCTCTTAACCTCTGAGCCATCTCTCCAGCCCCTGCCTTAGTTTTTTTTATTTTATTTTTGAGACAAAACTTTACTATGTAGCCTTGTCTGGTATGGTTGTTTTAATAAGAATGGTCTCCATAGGTTCATATGCTTGAATGCTTAGTCATCAGGGAGTGGCACTACTTAGAAGGATGAGGAGATGTGGCCTTGTTGGAGGAGGTGCGCCACCAGGCCCAGTGTCTCTCTCTTCCTGCTGCCTGTGGATCCAGAGTAGAACTCTCAGCTACCTCTCCAAAACCATGTCTCCCTGCGTGCTGCCATGCTTTCTGCCATGATGACAATGGACTAAGTCTCTGAAACTGTAAGCAAGCCCCAGTGAAATGCTTTGTTTTATAGGAGTTGCAATAGAACACTGACTAAGAAAGACGTCTGGCTTGGGACTTGTTATATGGACCGGGCTGGCCTTGAATTAAGATTCACCTGCCTCTGTCTCCCAAGCACTGGGGTTAAATGCACGCACCATCACATCCTGGTCCACCTTATGTTTTTAGGACAGGGTCTGAACTTAGAGCTCACCAGTTCAGCTAGACTGACTAGGTAGCTAGCCAGCTCCAAGGATCCTAACTCTGCTCCTCAAGTGCTGTGTTAGGGGTGCACTGTTTACCCAGTTTTTCTGTGGGAAGTAGGACTCCAAACAGATCCCCAGACTTACACGGCACATAGTCACCCACCAAGCCATTTCCCTGCCTCCTGTTCTGCTCTTCATTAATCTACTTGGTTTTTACTGAGAATTTCATGAGTCCTATATTTATATCATCCCCCTCTGACTCCTCCCACATCCCCCACTCTTTCTCAAATCCACACTCTCTTATTCCTTAACTACTATTGTCTTACATATTCACCCACCCACCACACACATATACAACCAGCTGAGTTCGTTTAGAATTGCCCATCTGTGCTGCTGCTGCTTTTGAGGCAAGGTCTCTAGCCACAGCTAGTCTCAGCCTTCCCCTACTTTCTCATTTATCCAACTCTTTAGTCTTAGCAACATCCTAAGGGTTCTTTAACACCCAGTTCAAATTTCTACTGTAAGGTAAGGCCATTTTGGCCTTGGAGGTAGCTTTGCAGGGTTCCTGGGGGAGACTCTCCACCCTTGATTAATACGGCAGCAGCAAAGGGCTGCAGACGACAGCAGCCCCGGAGCCAGATTGTTGGATGTGTACTCACAGGTACACTGCCTACCTGCTCTGTGGCTCTGCAGCCCAGCTTCCCTTAGCCGAGTGAGGACGGCGGAGATCCTACCGTACTGGGCAGCGTAAGTGCTAATGAGTGAGAGTGTGCATCTGCACACCCAAGGACGGAGCCAAGCACACAGCAAGCCCACTATAAATATTTACTACCATTTATTTGTATTTGTGTTTCAGCCTTAGATTCCAAGTTTTCCCCAACCAGACATGTCCTATCCCATGTGGCTGATGCACAGGGGATTTTGGGAAACAAAGCAAAACAAAACAAACCTCAGATGTTGAGGGTCCTACTTCTTGATGCCGGATCTGATCTTTGGAACATAGGTACATACCTCACGTACTGTCTGTGAAGGGTGAATCCGGAAGTTGATTGTAGCCTGAGCCAGTGGGGGGATGACATTCACCTAATTAGAGAACCAGAAACCTGGCCTGAGCCCTCCTCATGTCTTCACAGCTGGCCCCTGCCCAGGAAACACCAACCAGGAGGACGAGAAGCAACTGCTCTGGTTTAAGGAGTCAGGGCTCAATCCAGAGTCTGCCCTTGTCTTCCCTCGCCCTCCACCTGCTGGTACATTCACTTTTAGGGTCTCTGCTTTAGGTGAGATCTTTGTGCTTCTTGGTCCTGGAGGGGTCACAGAGCAGTTCAGAACAGGACTGTTCTGCCTGTGACTGCCCAGATGATTCTCTGCTGTGCCATCCGAGCCCTCTATGTGCATGTTCCCAGGACACTACCACCTGAAGGGATGGTAGTGGTTGTTTTGCATATCTGGGTACAAAATCTACCTAGTTTTTGTCTGAACTTATGATTAGTTGGAGAAGACAGGCTACAGTGGGGTATTTCCTTGATGTCTTGAGAGATTTCCTTTATCTTTCTTTGAACTGAAAAGATGCCCAAAAGCTCCAGGTATAATAACGTGCTGGGCTGTGGCAAACTGGCAGTGCGATTTCTGAGTAGCTGCTACCTCACTGCAACTCTGCTTCTCCAGCAGGTAGCTGGAGCAACGCTACCTCATAGTTGTCCTAGCGATGCTACCGCACACTCCTAGTGATGCTACTGCAGTCCTAGCGATGCTACTGCACAGTCCTAGCGATGCTACTGCAGTCCTAGTGATGCTACTGCAGTCCTAGTGATGCTACTGCAGTCCTAGTGATGCTACTGCACAGTCCTAGTGATGCTACTGCACAGTCCTAGTGATGCTACTGCACAGTCCTAGTGATGCTACTGCAGTTCTTGCAATGCTACCGCGCAGTCCTAGTGATGCTACTGCACAGTCCTAGTGATGCTACTGCAGTCCTAGTGATGCTAGTGCAGAGTCCTAGCGATGCTACTGCACAGTCCTAGTGATGCTACTGCAGTCCTAGTGATGCTACAGCAGTCCTAGTGATGCTACTGCAGTCCTAGTGATGCTACTGTGCAGTCCTAGCGATGCTACTGCAGTCCTAGTGATGCTACTGCACAGTCCTAGCGATGCTACTGCATAGCTCTAGTGATGCTACTGCAGTCCTAGTGATGCTACTGCAGTCCTAGTGATGCTACTGCAGTCCTAGCGATGCTACTGCACAGTCCTAGTGATGCTACTGCAGTCCTAGTGATGCTACTGCAGTCCTAGTGATGCTACTGCAGTCCTAGTGATGCTACTGCAGTCCTAGTGATGCTACTGCAGTCCTAGTGATGCTACTGCAGTCCTAGTGATGCTACTGCAGTCCTAGTGATGCTACTGCAGTCCTAGTGATGCTACTGCAGTCCTAGTGATGCTACTGCAGTCCTAGTGATGCTACTGCAGTCCTAGTGATGCTACTGCAGTCCTAGTGATGCTACTGCAGTCCTAGTGATGCTACTGCAGTCCTAGTGATGCTACTGCAGTCCTAGTGATGCTACTGCAGTCCTAGTGATGCTACTGCAGTCCTAGTGATGCTACTGCAGTCCTAGTGATGCTACTGCAGTCCTAGTGATGCTACTGCAGTCCTAGTGATGCTACTGCAGTCCTAGTGATGCTACTGCAGTCCTAGTGATGCTACTGCAGTCCTAGTGATGCTACTGCAGTCCTAGTGATGCTACTGCAGTCCTAGTGATGCTACTGCAGTCCTAGTGATGCTACTGCAGTCCTAGTGATGCTACTGCAGTCCTAGTGATGCTACTGCAGTCCTAGTGATGCTACTGCAGTCCTAGTGATGCTACTGCAGTCCTAGTGATGCTACTGCAGTCCTAGTGATGCTACTGCAGTCCTAGTGATGCTACTGCAGTCCTAGTGATGCTACTGCAGTCCTAGTGATGCTACTGCAGTCCTAGTGATGCTACTGCAGTCCTAGTGATGCTACTGCAGTCCTAGTGATGCTACTGCAGTCCTAGTGATGCTACTGCAGTCCTAGTGATGCTACTGCAGTCCTAGTGATGCTACTGCAGTCCTAGTGATGCTACTGCAGTCCTAGTGATGCTACTGCAGTCCTAGTGATGCTACTGCAGTCCTAGTGATGCTACTGCAGTCCTAGTGATGCTACTGCAGTCCTAGTGATGCTACTGCAGTCCTAGTGATGCTACTGCAGTCCTAGTGATGCTACTGCAGTCCTAGTGATGCTACTGCAGTCCTAGTGATGCTACTGCAGTCCTAGTGATGCTACTGCAGTCCTAGTGATGCTACTGCAGTCCTAGTGATGCTACTGCAGTCCTAGTGATGCTACTGCAGTCCTAGTGATGCTACTGCAGTCCTAGTGATGCTACTGCAGTCCTAGTGATGCTACTGCAGTCCTAGTGATGCTACTGCAGTCCTAGTGATGCTACTGCAGTCCTAGTGATGCTACTGCAGTCCTAGTGATGCTACTGCAGTCCTAGTGATGCTACTGCAGTCCTAGTGATGCTACTGCAGTCCTAGTGATGCTACTGCAGTCCTAGTGATGCTACTGCAGTCCTAGTGATGCTACTGCAGTCCTAGTGATGCTACTGCAGTCCTAGTGATGCTACTGCAGTCCTAGTGATGCTACTGCAGTCCTAGTGATGCTACTGCAGTCCTAGTGATGCTACTGCAGTCCTAGTGATGCTACTGCAGTCCTAGTGATGCTACTGCAGTCCTAGTGATGCTACTGCAGTCCTAGTGATGCTACTGCAGTCCTAGTGATGCTACTGCAGTCCTAGTGATGCTACTGCAGTCCTAGTGATGCTACTGCAGTCCTAGTGATGCTACTGCAGTCCTAGTGATGCTACTGCAGTCCTAGTGATGCTACTGCAGTCCTAGTGATGCTACTGCAGTCCTAGTGATGCTACTGCAGTCCTAGTGATGCTACTGCAGTCCTAGTGATGCTACTGCAGTCCTAGTGATGCTACTGCAGTCCTAGTGATGCTACTGCAGTCCTAGTGATGCTACTGCAGTCCTAGTGATGCTACTGCAGTCCTAGTGATGCTACTGCAGTCCTAGTGATGCTACTGCAGTCCTAGTGATGCTACTGCAGTCCTAGTGATGCTACTGCAGTCCTAGTGATGCTACTGCAGTCCTAGTGATGCTACTGCAGTCCTAGTGATGCTACTGCAGTCCTAGTGATGCTACTGCAGTCCTAGTGATGCTACTGCAGTCCTAGTGATGCTACTGCAGTCCTAGTGATGCTACTGCAGTCCTAGTGATGCTACTGCAGTCCTAGTGATGCTACTGCAGTCCTAGTGATGCTACTGCAGTCCTAGTGATGCTACTGCAGTCCTAGTGATGCTACTGCAGTCCTAGTGATGCTACTGCAGTCCTAGTGATGCTACTGCAGTCCTAGTGATGCTACTGCATAGCTCTAGTGATGCTACTGCAGTCCTAGTGATGCTACTGCACAGTCCTAGTGATGCTACTGCAGTCCTAGTGATGCTACTGCAGTCCTAGTGATGCTACTGCAGTCCTAGCGATGCTAGTGCAGTCCTAGCGATGCTACTGCACAGTCCTAGCGATGCTACTGCATAGCTCTAGTGATGCTACTGCAGTCTTAGTGATGCTACTGCAGTCCTAGTGATGCTACTGCAGTCTTAGTGATGCTACTGCATAGCTCTAGTGATGCTACTGTCAGTTCTAGAAGAATCAAAAGGAGTATCCCTCAGCCCCGGTGGACAAAAAAAAAACAAAAACAAAAAAAAACAAAAAACCACAGGTCAAATGCAGGAGCATAATATGCTGGTGCTAAAGCAATAGCTGGACATATATGACTATGTTGAACAGCAGCTGGGGAAGATTATCTGGGTTGATTCCGGTTTGTTATGCCAGAAAATAAACATAAATTTGGAGGCATCATCTACTTCTATCAGAATTTGGGACCACGTGAGGTGGCACACACCTTTAATCCCAGCACTCAGGAAGGAGAGACAGGCAGGTATATGTGGGTTTTAGGCTAACCTGGTCTACATCATGAGTTCTAGGTTATCAAGGGCTACACAAACACAATGGCAAACCCAAATCAATCTTCTTTTCCAGATTAAGATCATATTGTACTTGAGGAAAATGTTGGCCCCTGAAGTTGTGCTGGTGGCACTGATGGTTATGGGTGGGTCTAACTTCCTTCAAAGCCCAATGCTTTGTGGGCCAGGCTTGGTCCTTTAACAAGAGACACCCCTTAGTAGACAGGGAAACTGCAAGTGGGCCAATTTACTGAAAACTCAATGCTTTCTTTATAGAATAAAAGCTTATCACATGGGGGCTGGAGAGATGGCTCAGAGGTTAAGAGCATTGCCTGCTCTTCCAACGGTCCTGAGTTCAATTCCCGGCAACCACATGGTGGCTCACAACCATCTGTAATGAGGTCTGGTGCCCTCTTCTGGCCTGTGGGCATACACGCAGACAGAATATCGTATACATAATAAGTAAATAAATAAATATTAAAAAAAGCTTATCACATTATTGATTCTTATTTCTAGAAGAGTAAGACTCATATAGAAATGATAGTCATTGAGGCAGATTTTGGGAAAGGATATAAAAGATTTTACAAGTGGCAAATGAGTATGTCTTTGAACTTACACCAGGGGAACACACACCAGTCACCCATTGAATTAGTTCAGTGGGTAGAGCTTTGAAAAGAAAGACTTTTTAAAAAGATTCTATGGTTGGGCAGTGGTGGCATATGCTCTCAATCCCAGCACTCAGGAGGCAGAGGCAGGCAGATGTATGTGAGTTTGCAGCCAGCCTGGTCTACAAGAGCTAGTTCCAAGACAGGCTCCAAAGCTACCCTGTCTCAAAAAAAAAAAAAACAAAAATTCTACTTGGCCAGTACTGTTGCTCAGTACCCTCCAGGTAGAAGGCTATAGGCTTGATTTATAGCATTACAAAAAAAGCAAGCAAATAACCAAAAATAGAGATCTTTGATGGTAAAATGGTTTGAAGGTTTTAGACTGTCTGATCAAAATGCTAGGAAAATATAAAACATACAGAATTACATTCAGGGCATGGGTTAGGAGACCAAACTCCCCCAAGCCCTTTCTATACATGCCTAGATAGATGCGCCCACACTCTCAGTGGGGTGTAGACCTTGGCTTGAGCCTTTGCTCTGGAGGCTTACCCTACTGAAGCCAGAACAGTGGCATGGGACCACACTGCCCCTTCCATTACTATAGCCACAGCAGGAGAGGAAAGCCCACAACAAACTCAAAGAACGGATGTGCAAGGGCGGCCGGAGGAGCCGGATGATGTTACCTTGACTCCTGCATTGAATATGGTGAGGGCGGTGGTGGTTCTGACCAGGGCGTTGGTTATGGGATTCCTCTCCATTAGCCTAAAGCAAAAAGGCTATGGTTAGACATCAGGAAGAAGTCGTAGAATGTCACTCTCTGTCCTAAACCCTGGAGACCTTTACGGCCAAGAGAGACATGAGCCTATACGTTAATAACAAAATATCTATGACTGAAGGATGACTAGTCAGGCTAGGTAAGCCAAGAAATGGGGAGGGGTGGAGGGAGGGTATCTGGGGAGGGAGATTTAGAGGAAACAAAACATGTTACCTGCTTACAATGGGCCGAAACAGCCACAGGTTCCCCAGGACTATATTGGCGGGGAAGGAAAGCTGAAAGGGAAGGAACAAGGTCAGCAGGAGCAAAGGGGTTGGCACAACAGGGCCACTGTTGCCAAGGCCTGAGTCTCTACTTCAGGTCTACTCCAGGACACAGTGCTCAAGCCCCTCCTCCCCTCTGCCGCCCCAATCTCTGTTGGAGTGAGGTGTTTCCACCTGGGCGGGCATATAGGACTATCCAGAACAATTGCTCAGCAGTCACAGGCTACATGGGAAACAGCTTCCGAGGGAACCTGGGCGTGCTAGGACCTAGGATAAATCCTATCAGCTTTAGACAACACACCCCATCTTGCTCAGCTGCTGCTGGGACTAGGTGAGAATGGGCAGAGACCTGATTGACACGGTGGCCCTTCATTACTCCACAGCTCCTTCCCACCCACTTTCTGCTCCTCGTCTACAGCTGGCCGGGAGCATGGAACATCCCTCCCATACCTCTTTTGACAGCAGCTTCATTGCCTGCTTCAGTGGCCCACTCCCAAACATATTCGGCATGGGTGTCTGCTCCAGTCTGGAAGAGAAAGAGTTCTCAAGACCAGGCCTCCCCCAGGACCAAGATCAGCATCCTGGAGCTGAGTGCAAGCTTCAACGAGCCTGCCCAGTCGTCCACCTGCCCACCACCTCCAGCAAACCGAGGTGAAGATCCAGAGCAACAGCAGGAGCCAGGGCCGCAGGTGTGTCAGGGCCTCGCTCCTCTCTCACTCTGCTTCCTTAGGGCAAGGGGCCATCTCAAGCGTTACTGTATTCCCTGACACAAAGCAGCTCTCTGCCCTAGGGTTACTACTGCTATGATCAAACGCCACGATCCAAAGCAACTGGGGGAGGAAAGGGTTAATTCAGCTTACACTTCCACATTGCTGTCCATCCTTGAAGGAAGTCAGGACAGGAACTCAAGCAGGGCAGGAGCCTGGAGGCAGGAGCTGATGCAGAGACCATGGAGGGGCGCTGCTTACTGGCTTGTTCCCCATGGCTTGCTCAGCCTGCTTTCTTACTGAACCCAGGACCACCAGTCCAAGAATGGCACCACCCACCATGGGCTGGGCCCTCTCACACCAACTACTAATTAAGAAAATAACCCACAGGCTTGGCTACAGCCCCATCTTCTGGAGGTATTTTCTCAACTGAGGCTTCCTCCTCTCCAATGACTCTAGCTTGTGTCCGGTCGACAAAACTAGCCAGCACCCTTTCTCTTTACTTTGCTAAGAGAACCTAGACACAGGTAAGTGTTGTTCTTGCAAACCTTGGTCTCTATCCACAGCCAGGGCCCATTATTTATCTTTGTACCCCTGCCAGATCAGCAGGAGAATTTAGACAGTGTTACCAGTCCCTGCCAACTTGTAATTCTAACTGCTTGGCCGAGCTCCGACTATCCAGCTCTCTGACTTGGTTTTTGTCTCCTGTACATCCTCTAGTTGTACTGACAGATCCTTCGGTCCCAGGCCTGTTCTGAGTATTATTGGCTTTGGACCTCCTGCAGCTTGCACCTCTGCTCCTCGGGCCAGCTTGATGGCAGGAAGCATAGGCAGGCAGGCTGGCTCCTCAGTCTTAGAGTGGCCAAGTGCCAGGTCCTCCATCCCATGCAGTCCCGGAAGAGGAGCCAGGAGCTGCTTACCGGCTGACAGCGGCGGAAAGGATACCAATGCTCGTCTCCTTTGGGGGAGCTGAAGAGTGTCCTGGAGTCATGTTCACTTGCAGCATGAGATCAAGGGCACCCTTCTCTGCGACGGAAATCCTGTGGGAGAGGATCAGAGATGAGTCTTCAGACTGCTTCCCCACTAAACAATTCCGCAGACTCATAGGCTCATCTACATGATGGCCTGGTGGTCTGGGAGGTTAGCTCCATGCTGCTTGGAAAAACTCAACACTAGAAGAAGGCTATGGGGGGAAGCCCAGGACATGGTGGTTAATACAACAGAATATCCGAGTGTGCTCATGGGGGGCAGGCTGGGTAATTTCAGACGCAGTGATAAATCTTTCAGGGTGGAAGGTGCGGTGCTTCACTTACACGGCAAAGGGCTTCTTGAGGTTCAGAAGAAAATCTTCCATAATAAAGCTCCCTTCATCCACAAGGAAGGCCAGCCGAACACCCCTAGCCTGTAGGAGTGCTGAGATCTTCAGAGCGCCCTTTATCCCAGACACCTGTAGACAGAAAGACCAAAGTACAGTCCTTCTCAGCCAGGAACGGACAGACAGACAGACAGCGACTGCAGGCTCTCTCAGCCAGGAACGGACAGACAGACAGCGACTGCAGGCTCACTTGGCCAGGAACGGACAGACAGACAGCGACTGTGGACTCCCTCAGCCTGCCACCTTCCTTCCTAGTCTTTTTTTAATGGGGCAGGGCTTGAGATAATTCTGTCTCGCAGAATTGTCCAATTTCGGAGTCCCTCTGGGTCCCGCTAATTTCACAAAAGAAGGAACTGGGAACAGTGAAGGTCTGGGCAAGGTTTCAGGCAGGCAGCATCACTGTGAATGAAACACTCAGTTCTCTTTCTGTGTACTTAGGGTCCTTGAAGTAGAATTGCCAGACTATCTTTTGGTCTAGATATTACCAGGGAGTTTAATGCTGGCACACAGACACAGAGAAACTGGCGACAGCCATAGGATCTCATGGTGCCCCTGCATCTGATGAACATACTGGATTGCACCCCACCTCCAAGAGACCCTGAGACAGGTACTGGGCACACTGCTTACCTCCTCATCATGGCCCAAAGCAATGAAGAAAGATCTTCTAGGGCTATAGTTTCTGATCAACAGGAGCTCCAAGGCCTGCAGGATTGCCTGGGATTCAGAAGAGGAGAAAGGCTCACTATTGGAGTAGGGTGAAGTCAGAGTCATTCATCAGTAACGGCTGAACTAAGATCTGATAGACTGGATTTAGAGAGAACTACTTCAGGTGGTCCAGAGCTCGGTAGAAAAGCCTAACTCCCTGAGAAAAGCACACATTTATCTGTGCCACCTGAAAGGTCCCTGTGCAGCAGCGGGTTATCTACCCCCAGTTCCTCCGTGGTTGAGAAATCAAGGCCCAGAAAATGAAGAAATGAAGTGGAAAAACTGATAGCTACCATTTAGGCCTTCTACAGCCAATTTATTCTCTCTCTCTCTCTCTCTCTCTCTCTCTCTCTCTCTCTCTGTCGCTCTCTCTCTGAGACAGGGTTTCTCTATGTAGTCCTGGCTGCCCTGGAACTTGCTCTACAGGAAAGGCTGGCCTTGAACTCAGAGATTTGCCTGTCTCTGCATTCTTAGTGCTGAGATGAAAGGCATGGGCCACCACTGCCCAGCTCCAGCCAATTCTTTTAACCATAACCTCCTCCTTCTCCTAGAGTCATCCAAATTCTCCCACCCTGGAGCAACTTTTGGACTCTAAGGAAGTTATTAAGCATAGCACTTCAGACCATCACAGAGTTCTTGTTGTCCAGTGTGCCCCGGCCATGGATGAAGCCATCACGCTCCAGGCCTGAGAACGGGGGCACCTCCCATCCTTCTTCAGGGGCTGGAACCACGTCAAAGTGAGCCATCAGCATGTAGGGCTGCAGACTGGGGTCCGAGCCTTGCACAGTAAGCAGGTGGCTGTATGTTCCCACGACTTCGTGTCGGATCAGGCTGCTGTGGAACACTGTCGGGAACACTTGAGGCAAAGGAAAGGGATGAGAAGTGGTGAGATTGCCAGGGCCATAGTCTCCTTCCGTTTCCCTCCCAATTTCTTGCTCCCAAATCCTTTTCTTTCTTTCTTTTTTGAATATGAATTCTCCTTACAGATATAAATCCTGATCTATTTAGTTTCTGAAATTCCTCTTCCGTGTGTGTGTGTGTGTGTGTGTGTGTGTGTGTGTGTGTGTGTATACACATTATCATTCCCTCCAGGATCAAAGCCCTCCTATTTTAATGTGCTATTTAAAATTGTACCATTAAATATTGGAGCTGGAGATAGGGCTCAGAAGTTAACAGTATTAATTGCTCTTGCAGAGGACCCGAATTCAATTTATAGCACCCATATGGTGACCCACAATCATCTGTAACCCCCGTTCCAAGGAAATCTGATGCCCTCTCCTGGCCTCTGAGGGAACTGTCTACTTAGTGCATAGACAAACAAGCAGGGGAAACCACCACACCCTCTCTCGCTAGCTTTCTCTCTCTTACACACACACACACACACACACACACACACACACACACACACACAATGGGTAATAGCTCAAGATCTGGCTCATTCTAGCCAAACATATTGACACCTTTATAGATGAGGGTTGTGTTAAAATCTGAATGCAATAGTTGCTAATATCCAAATTATTCAGAGGAAAAGATAACCACTATCTATTTGAAAAGTTCTAGGGTATTTCCTTTGAAGAAAACACCATGGGCATGTACCTGCAGGAGGCTGAGGAAGGAGGGCCTGAATTGGAGGCTATTAGGTCACACAGAGACGGATACACACAAATATCTAGTTAGAGCTACTGTCGCTGTGATGAAACGCTAAGAGCAAAGCAACTGGAGGAGGAAAGGGTTAATCTGACTTACACTCTCACATCTGTGGAATTTGAAATTTGACTTTCACTGTCCATCACTGAAGGAAGTCAGGATAATAACTCTAGCAGGGCAGGAACCTGGAGGCAGAGGCAGATGCAGAGGCCATGGGGGGAGCTGCTTACTGGCTTGCTCAGCCTGCTTTCTTTTCTTTTTACTCTATTTTTATTCATTCTTCATGTCTTTCATGTCATGTTTCCAAATCCCACCCATCTCCCTCCTCCCCTCTCGTCATGGAGGCTGCAGTGTGACACACACTGAGTCAAGCAATAAAACCTTTAGCTATAGTTTTTTTTTTTTAAGTTTTTCAAGACTGGATTTCTCTGTCTAACAGCTCTGGCTATCTTGGAACTAGCTCTATAAACCAGGCTGGCCTTGAACTCACAGAGATCCGCCTGCCTCTGCCTCCCAGGTACCAGGATTAAAGGCAAGGCACGTGCTACCTTCACCACCTACAGACATTTTCTCAATTGAGTTTCTCTCCTCTCACATATGTTAGCTTGGGTCAAACTAATGTTAAACTATTCAGGATGTAAGATTTTCTTTCCTTTTCTTTTTTGAGGCATGCTTTCACCATGTAGTCTAGGAACCCATGATCCTCCAGCCTCAGTATTCCAAATTCTCGGATTATAGGTGTGAGTCACCATGTCTATATATTTTCAGTCAAAGGTTGGTTGAACCCATACGTGAAATCCTTGGACACAGAGAGCTGTGTTTAATATATTATGTTTACTTTTTAAAGTATATGTGTGTTTTGGCTGATTGTATGTTGGTGTGCCTGCCACATGTGTAAACCTGAGCCTGGAGCTCATGGAGAGAGGAAGAGGGAGTTGGATCCTCTGAAACTGGAAGTGCAGATGGTTGTGAGTCACCATGCGGATGCCGGGAATTGAACTCAGCAAGTATTCTTGAACTACTGAGACATCTTTCCAGCTCCTGTACTTTGTTTTAATTGACCACCCGTGAAGTGATGAATATTTGGGATTTTCCATTCGAGGCTATTATATATTTATAAAATATATATAAATACATAATGCTGCCATGAAGAAAGAAAACAGTGTTTTCACTATTTGTATTTTGTGGAGATAAGTCTCTGTGTCTGGTCATACTTCTGTATGTGGGAGTGGATGTTCTCAGGGCGGATTACTCACATTACTGGCAGACCTCAATACAGGTGGTCTAGCTAATCGCCCCTGGACTGTCTGGGAAGAATGCACTTACTCCTTTGTGTAATCTAAATACACACCACACACACACACACACACACACACACACCACAGCAAAAAAAAAACCTGAAGAAGAGTGTGTTTCAGTCTGTCACCAGATTATTTAGTTTACTGTCACTGTATATGTTTAGTTCTCTGAATTGTTTTAATTTGGGGGAGAGAGAGAGAGAGACATAGAGAGAGACAGACTTGGGATCGCATCCAGGGTCTTGCAAATCCTAGGCAAACACTCTACCATGGAGCTCCATCACCAGGCCCCTAGCTTATTCTCCCTCTCGTCCCCTCCCTTCTTTGATAATGACTTCTTGCCTGACCTCTCGTTTGGTGACAATGTTTTAGTCCCAGATCCATTTGTCCCAGCATGTTAGAGACGGAACTACTTGATGCTCCTAAGCTGGCTTCTCCCACCTCTGACATCTTGAAGGGGGGTGGCTTCCCTAGTCTCCATTAGATTTTTTTTATTTTTCACTTTAAGATTCTAACATCCTCTCAATCCACTCTTCCCAGCTCTGGGCTCCCTGGTCACAGGGATGAAGGAAGGGGGAGGAGCTAGGATAGGTCAAGAATGTTGGCTGCCCAGAGGCTTAAGAGTGTGTTAGAAATCAGTGTAAATGAGCCCACTAGGTGGAGTGTCTTGAAAGCTGGATGAATGGCTGCGCGGGAGTAGGAGCGGGAGGTGCTGGGACAGAGTTCTAGACATCTGCACACGAGAAGGAATCCCTTGTTTTACCTACTAATGTCTAGATCAGACAGATACTATTTAGAGAACTACAGCAGTTCTCAGTTCTTCAAAGGCGAATCTACAGCCCTCACTTCATCCTCTACTGTGTAACTTTCAGTCTCCCTTTTATACATTCTATGTACAAAGTAAAAAGCACCCCCCATGTGACTATCTTCTATTAGTGACAAAATGTATTTTCCTATCACTTTGTCAAGGACACAGTCTCTAGTGACTCTCTGTCACTCTTTCCCTCAGTTTGCAACTGACCTTTGCGCATGTATTCTCCAAACTCAGCGAGGGCTGTGGTGTTGGATTCCTCATGGCTGAAAGACACCGTGGGAATCTGGATGGCACCTGTCAACAGAGATGGAGGATTCAAGTTGATAGAGGTTGGATGTTTCTAGTAAAAATCTGAAACCATCAGGTGTGGTAGCACACGCCTTTAAAGCCAGCACTCTGCCAGGCAGAGGCAGGTGGATCTCTAAATTCAAGGCCAGCCTGGTCTACAGAACTAGTTCTAGGGTAGCCAGGACTACATGTGGAAACTCTGTCTTGAAAACAAATAAAACCTGAAACCATAGTCGAATGTAGCGGTGCACACCTGTAATCCCAGTAGGCTGGGACAGCAGAACATGTCTCTATAGAACACGCACACAAACACACACACACACACACACACACACACACACACACACAAAAGAAATTCAAAATTTTGAGGGTCAACATGCCATCAAGAAAATTTTGACAGATTCAACACAATGCCCAGCAAAATTCCAGCAAAATTCTTCAAAGACCTTGAAAGAACGGTATTCAACTTCATATGAAAAAACAAAAAAATCCAGGATAGCCAAAACAGTACTGTACAATAAAAGAACTGCCGGAGGCATCACAATCCCTGACTTCAAATTCTACTACAGAGCTACAGTACTCAAAACAGCCTGGTATTGGCATAAGAACAGACAGGAGAACCAATGGAACCGAATAGAAGACCCGGATACCAATCCACACATCTTCAAACACCTGATCTTCAATAAAGAAGCAAAAAATATCAAATGGAGGGCTGGAGAGATGGCTCTGAGGGTAAGAACACTGATTGTTCTTCCAGAGGTCCTGAGTTCAATTCCCAGAAACCACATGGTGGCTCACAACCATCTGTAAAGAAATCTGGTGTCCTCTTCTGGCCTGTAGGCACACATGCAGACAGAACACTGTAAACAAAATAAATAATTCTTTAAAAAATATCAAGTGGAAAAAAGAAAGCATATTTAACAAGTGGTGCTGGCATAACTGAATATCAACATGTAGAAGAATGAAAATAGATCCAGATCTATCACCATGCAAAAAACTCAAGTCCAAATGGATCAAATACCTTACTTAACATAAAGCCAACCACACTGAACCTTATAGAAGAGAAAGTGGGAAGTACACTTGAACACATTGGCACAGGGAACCACTTCCTAAATAGAACCCCAGTAGCACAGACACTGAGAGAAACAATTAATAAATGGGACCTCCTGAAACTGAAAAGCTTCTGTAAAGCAAAGGACATGGTCAACAAGACAAAAAGACAGCCTACAGAATGGGAAAAGATCTTCACAAACCCCACATCAGACAGAGGGCTGATCTCCAAAATATACAAAGAACTCAAGAAATTGGACACTAAAAGATCACATAATCAAATAAAAAATGGAGTACAGACCTAAACAGAGAACTCTCAAAAGAGGAATCTAAAATGGCTGAAAGACACTTAAGGGAATGTTCAACATCCTTAGTCATCAGAGAAATGCAAATCAAAACAACTCTGAGATTCCATCTTACACCTGTAAGAATGGCCAAGATAAAAAACACTGATGACAACTTATGCTGGAGAGGTTGTGGGGAAAAGGAAACACTCCTGCATTGCTGGTGGGAATGCAAACTGGTACAACCCCTTTGGATGTCAGTGTGGCGATTTCTTAGAAAATTAGGAAACAACCTTTCTCAATACCACTTTGAGGTATATATCCAAAGGATGCTCAATCGTGCCACAAGGACATATGCTCAACTATGTTCATAGCAGCTTTGTCTGTCATAGCCAGAACCTGGAAACAACCTAAATGCCCCTTGATCGAAGAATAGATAAGGAAAATGTGGTACATTTACATAATGGAGTACTACATAGCAGAAAAAATAATGACAGCTTGAATTTTGCAGGAAAATGGATGGAGCTAGAAAACATTATTTTGAGTGAGGTAACCCAGACACAGAAAGACAATTATCACATGTACTCACTCATAGGTGGTTTTTAAACATAAAGCAAAGAAAGCCAGCCTACAAACCACAATCCCAGAGAACTTAGACAACAATGCGGACACTAAGAGAGATATACATAGATATAATCTACATGGGACGTAGAAAGTAGAAAAAGACAAGATCTCCTGAGTAAATTGGGAGCATGGGGACCTTGGGGGGAGGATTGAAAAGGGAGGGGAGAAGCAGGGAGGGGAGCAGAGAAAAATGTAGAGCTCAATAGATATCAATAAAAAAGTATATATAAGGGGGCTGGAGAGATGGCTCAGAGGTTAAGAGAACTGACTACTGTTCCGGAGGTCCTGAGTTCTATCCCCAGCAACTACATGATGGCTCACACCCATCTATAATGAGATCTGGTGCCCAGAACACTACATACATAATAAATAAATTAAAAAAAGTATATATAAAAGGAAAATTTTGGATTTTAAATCACTTAAGTTTTGTCTGAAAGACACAGTCACCTCTAGCTAAGGATGAACTCTATCACACCACAGCTTACTACCCAGATGGGGAAGCTTAAGTCCAAAAAGATTAAATTGCCCCACTGAGAGCAGATCCAACATCTGAACTTCGATCCTTTGCATCTTGTTAAGGAGTTCTATGCCATGATGCTATGAGGTCTTGGTAAGCTTTTGTTTTCTTCTGTGCACAGGGACTCTGCCACAGTCCACCAGTTTGCAAAGGGCTATTGGCACGATGGGAAAGCTCTTCCCAGGCCACTCCAGGTCACTCCAGGATAAGCACAATTCATCTCCCACGTGGGTGCTAGCATTTGGTCTCTGTGTCGGCCTGCACATGTTTGCGTAGGCAGTTTTTGTTAATTCACTATCTAATGAACGGAAAAGAGGAGTTGAGCCCAGTGGTCACAAAGCATTACGTGAGCCGCCCACATAAATGCTCCCCTTTCCTCCTGAAAGGCACAGGCCAATGAGTTGGCTGCCTTGTTAGGTTCCTCGTATTAGGGGGCAACTAGATACATATTAAACGCCGGGAACAATGCATTCCCCCTCAGCGTCAGCGAGTCCCACGGATTCTTAAAGGTTGCTATCCAGAGCCCAGTCCTTGCAGGAGCCCTGGGGAAGATCATTTAACAAAGCAAATCACTTTTAAGATACCTCGGAGACTTAACAAACATGATACCTTTCAGAGGTCGAAAGTGCTACAAACCACTTGTCTGAGGAAGGCAAGGGTAGGGTGGGTGCGGGCTATGCCCAGCGGAGAGAAGCTGGAGCCTCCAGGCTAGGTAAGGGGACACTGACGCGAGGGGCGTGCCAGACCCGTGCACCGTGTGAATGGACGTATGCGGGAACGCTGACCGGGCCAGCCTGCGGTGTGGCGGGTGGAACTCTAGCCTAAGCAGCGGTCGGTCCCTCTGCCAAGGGAGACAGTCCCGGGATGACTGGGAACTGAGGGACCCACGTCTGAGCCCAAGGGGGCGGAGGTTCACCTTTCAGCGCCTCTTTTATAGCGACGCGCTCCTCCTCGCTGAACTGGGAAGGGATCCGCGAGGCTCCCCAAATTTCCCTGCTGCTAGGACCGGTGGATCCAGAGACGGTGGCGAGAAAAAGCAGGAGTGCGGCTACCAGGGCCCGCACGCTCACACACTGCCCAGCCATGTCTCTCCCGAGGCCTCGCCAGTCAGGCCAGAGTTTGGACCTAAAAGTCCAACCTGACTCGCCGCTGACCAATCACCGCTTGGTCTGGACGGCAGCCAACCAATCAACAGAAGGGCTCCGCCCCTGCTCCACATGGCCTTTAGGGGTGTGTGGTTTCCCACGGTAGGCGGGAGTAGAGTCAGGAAGCAAACTGAAGCGATACTGCGCTCTAGGCAAAGGTTAGATCACGGCTCTTGATCTTCTGCTTGGAGATACTGTGAGTCTTCTGTGTGTGAGAGCAAACCAGTTCAGTGAGTGTGTAAACCAGGTTTATTAGACCTCAGTCTCTCTGGAGTATGTTTAGATTTAGATTTTGACTCCTAGTTCCTAGGTTCTGTGGAGGAACTCGGTGGTTTCCGGCTTTAATTTCATCAAAAACTGCCACAGGATGGCTATTAACGGATAGTGTTTTGACATACCTGTTTGGGACAGTTTGCTCCTGTTTAGGAACCTTGCTGGAACTGTTTTTGAACCGTTTTCTTAGCATAGCTGTATACAATAATGTGCTAACAATGGAACCTACCTGTAGTTGGAGATGTGACCTTGTTTCTCCTTGTTCTGCCCAGATCAAGGAGCCCCCCCCCCCCCCCCCCCAACTAGGAAACCGAGCCCTGTACAGAAAAGCAAAGAGCCTTTATTCTTGCACAAGTTTGCAAACTCAGTCTCTCCGTGTGTCTAACGTGATAGGAGTGAGATCCCTGAGCTCAGAGTTGGGCTTTTATAGTAGCAAAGGTGGGGGTGAGGGATTGCTAAGGTTCAGGACCCCTAATTGGCTGACGTTTGTCTAGGGGTGTCCTGGTGAAAAGGGAAGGTGTGTGCTGGCAGGTGATCTTATCTACAAAGGTTAGATCGTTAGGAATTTCCATTGGATGGTCTGTTCCTGGGTGGTGCCTGGGTAGTCTCAGTTTGTGGTTTTTATGGGAACCAGGTGTTACCTCAGGGCAAACTACTGAGACTCAGGCCTCTTTTGAGCTTGTGGTGGCTGGGTCCTACACTCCTCAAGGGTTAATCCCCTCAACAGGCCCCTTCCCCACAACTTTGAATTTAAGCTTTCCTGCCCTGGGGTCTTCCTTTAAACCTCTCCAGCTCCTGTGTGTGTGTGATGGTTCTTAAATTCTCTTTTTAGTGACAACAAGAACCCCAGAGGAGATACGAATTTCCCAGGTTTGATGTCTCTGCTGGCACTCTTAAATTTTTCTGGTAACAACTCTTTCCTTCTTTTTAATTCTTAATTGAAACCAGGTGGTGGTGGTGGAGCACGCCTTACATCCCAGCACTCAGGAGGCAGAGACAGGAGGATCTCTGAGTTTGAGGCCAGCCTGGTCTACAAGTTCCAGGGCAGGCTCCAAAGCTACAGAGAAACTTTGTCTCGAAAAACAAAAACCAAAAACAAAAAATAATTCTTAATTGACAGAAAAAAATGAAACCCCATCCTGTGCCCCTAGATAGCAGCATATAGGCATCATTATGGCATTTTATACATGTATATAATGGATCCTGATCAAATGTATTCCCGACCTCTGTCTCCCTCTCAGCCCCCACTGATCACCTTGTTGTCCCAACTAGTTTGCCTCTGGTGTGTGTGTGTGTGTGTGTGTGTGTGTGTGTGTGTGTGTGATCCAGTGAGTTTAATTAAAGCTACTCAAGGAGCATGGGCAAATTACCAGTGAATACCACCTGAAGAAAATTTCTGTTCCTTTCCTAGCAATATTGACAGCTTATAACTTCCCAAGAAGTGGGGATCCTGCATGAATCCCTTCCCCCTCCATGACAGGATGCGTGTCACCCAGTTCCTGTGCAGGCAGTCTGGTCCAGAGTGCAAAGGCCGTGTGTTGCCGGGAAGCCAGCATTCCATAGCACACCTCCCTTCCCCCAGCTCTTATGTCCATCTCCATAGACACATTTCTTACGGGTGTGTATTGTACTTTGAACATAAATATCTTCTCTCCGTTACTCTCTACCCTCTATTTTCTTGTTTCTCTGTTCCATTGATCCCCATAATTTCCCTAGACAATCCCAGTTCTTTCATTTAGTCTATACATACATGATTTTATGAGACCATACGAAATGTAGGAACCACAAATGAGAAATATATTTATATTTCTGAGCTTGGCTTAATTTGCTCAATATAATTACCTCCGGTGTTAATCTCACTACGACCACAATTCAAAGCCAAATTTGAAGCAAGTTTTAATTAAATCCTGGCCCAGGCAGATGCACTCTGGCCAAGTCCATACCAAAGTTGCCAGGAAATGGCCCAGAATCAAGTATGGCACGGGTTTAAGAAGGAAAACCTATATTCATTGCATTTCCCCTCAGGCCCAATCAAGGGCAAACATACATCCTGGTGGACATCTAGTCTACGTCCAATCAGAGGCAAGCACACATCCTGATGGACATCAAACCTACATCCAATCAGGGGCAAACATACATCCTAAAGTACTTCCTGCCTGTGAACCTCCTGCTCGCGAGTGATCAAGCACATTTGACGCAGAGGATTCGAACAAATTTGTTTTTGAGGGAGTGAAAACCTTGTGGCTTGTTATCTCCCATAAACAATAGTCTCCAGCCTTTCAGGAACTGCCCTTCCTTGGGCAAGGGGCTTGCAGAGCAGAGGCAAGTTTCGCGGATCTCTAAGGCATAGATAGTAATTCAAACTTAAAATGTAGCTTTGGCTCTCACACCAGGTGCATCCATTTTCCCACTGTGTGTATACGTCACACTTTTCACCCGTTCCTATGCTGTTGGACATCTAGGGTCCATCACTTGTGAAGGTTGCTGTGATGGGCACCGCTGAGCAGGTGCCCATGTCCTCTGTTGATTTGCTGTCTTCCAGGTGACAGTACTCAGGATGGTATAGCTAGGTGATGGAGGAGTTTATTTCTAGTTGTTTGTTTATTATCAAGCCTGGAGGGTCCCAGCCCTGAGGGGGGGAAGCAGTTGCAGGGTCCCACCCCTAATCTAGAAGCTCTTTGCAACTGATCCCTGCTGGCAAAGGGAAAGCCAGGGTTTGTTTTTTTTTTCCCCCCTATGGAGTGATCCAGGACAGGCCCCAGGCCCAGAAAGTTAGCCAACATAAAGTAAACTTGATGCTTCTCTTGGTGTTTATTTTGGGGGGCATTTCTTTGTTTGAATGTTTTTTATGTTTGCTTCTTTCAATTTTCATTTTTGTGGGATTTTTTGTTTTTGTTTGGAGACAGGGTGTCTCTTCATATCCCTGACTGGCCTTGACCTCACAGAGATCTACCTACCTCTATCCCCTGAGTGCTGGGGATTAAAGATGTGTGCCACCATGCCTAGATCTTTTGGGAGAAAGGGGTGGTATGGAAACTCACAGCAGTAGAAACTCCTTGGAATCTAAGAGGGTGACCCTAGCAAAGATTCCAAGGAATGGGAGATGCAGAGCCCAAACTGGCCATCTTCTGTCACCAGGCAAGGCTTCCATGGTGGGCCTGGATATCAACCCAGCCACAAAATCTTTGATGTATTATTAGTCCTGCCTGCAAGATGTGCTGGGATAATGGTGGTGCAGATCTGGTGGGAGTGTTCAGCCAATGACTGGTCTAACTTGAGGCCTATATCATGAGTGGGAGCCCATGCCTGACACTGCTTGGAGAGTCAGGAATCAGAGGCTGGATAGCCTAGACACCTAGGATAGAACCAAACATGACTAGTAAAAAAAAGTCAATGAAATGATTCCTAATAATTATTCTGTTATAGATCGGAGCCTAGCATCATTGTCATCAGAGAGGCTTTATTCAGGAACCCATGGGAGCAGAAACAGAGACCCACAGCCAACACTAGGCAGAGCTCCAGGATCCAAGCAGAAGAGGGGGAGGAAGGATTGTAGGAACCAGAGGGATCAAGGACAGCATGAGAACAGGGCCCAAAAGGATCAACTAAGCAGGGCTCATAGAGACTCACGAGGCTGATTGACTGCTAGGTTTTCTGCAAATATGTTTGACAGTGTAGCCTGGCATTCCTGTGGAACTCCTAACAGTGGGAGGGGGTGTGTCTCTGACTCTGTTGCCTGCTCTCAGGACCCTCTTCCTCCTGCTGGGTTGACTTGTCCAGTCTTCATATTAGGGTTTGTGCCTAGTCTTTTGTTATGCCATGTTCAATTGATATCCCTCAGAGGCCCGCTCTTTCCTGAAGGGAAATGGAGGAGGAGTGGAGCTGGGGGAGAGGAGCTGGGGGAATTAGGAGGAGTAGAGGGAGAGAAACTTCAGTCGGGATGTAACACATGGGAGAAGAATAAATTATAAAAAAAGAAAAAAAAACTCAGAAAAATTAACAGAGAGATAGAGCATAAAGTTGAATGGGTAGAGAGGTAGAAGGGAATTGGGGAGGGGTTGAGGGAGGGGAAGGAACATGACCAGAATATAAAAATATATTGTATAAAAATTAAAATAAAAATTAGATTTGTTTATTTTATGTGTTTTAGTGTTTTTCCTACATGCATGTGTAACAGTCTTACAAATCTTGAGATGAGTTTTATATCTTTAGGCAGTTCAATGGAACCAATAATCTGAAGTTTTGGGCTGTTCTGCTTTGCTCTCTTTTCTCTGTCACAAGATCAGGTGATTCTCCTGACATAGGACAGAGAGGAAACTTTAGATATGCATGCTTGGGTCTAGAGAAGAGAGAGCCATAACCCACCTCCAGAGCCAGCTTTCCAATAAAGTAAAACAGCATAAAATAACTTTAATATTCTCCACACCCAAGAGATATTTGACCTTCTGCCAGACTGAGTCCAGTGACCAGAAAAGCCCAGAGATAAGAAATTCTGAATGGTCAGGACCACTGAAGCAGCCATGGCAAGTGGCTTCAGTGGTGGCAAAGGTAGCAAAACAAATACCAATAAACACAGAACACAGAAAGCTCATGCACCCTAAGGAGGCCAGCCAGAGACAAAACTCATACATTGAACTGGGCCTGACCGATTTCCAACTCATCTCCTCATATTCAAGCAACCAGGGCCAGGCTGGCGGTGCCATGTCTCAGTATTTTGCTCTGGGTGGGAGAGTATTAGGTCTCGTTAGAGCCCTCCTCATCCCAGATCTGGATCTCAGCAGAACAAGAAAGTTACTATGACGACCAGGGGAGGCCTCCATAGGCACCTGCTGCTTTTCTCAGCTTGGCAGTTCACTCTGATAGTCTGAGAAACCAAAAACACGGCCTGGAGCCTTGGTATGTCTCAAGTGCGCACCTCCTGAGGTGGCCCTTGAGCTCAGAGTCCTGGAGCGAAGATCTAGCTTTAGAATTTGGGTGGGTCGTCTGATCTTGCTGGGGGCCTCCAGAAAATGCTACTACCACTGGGCAAGAATAAGACCACTGCCACAATTTTTGAGCCAAATTTGAAGCAAGCTTTATCAAATATTGGCCAGGATGGTGGACACCGGCCAAGTTCGTACCTGAGATTACCAAAGTATGGGATTCAGGAACTTATAAAGGCAAAACCCACAAGGCTTTTGTCCAGCCAGGGGCAAGTGTACACCCTGACATGCCTCCTGCCTATTCTGATAAAACACATATACTTGGTGCAATTGTTGCAACCAAGCTTGTTATAGAAGTGAAGACACAGGACTTGTTATCTTACGTGAACAGCTCCCAGCATTCCAAGAGTTATCTGTCCTTGGGTAAATGAGGCTTACAGGGTAGAGGCACTTTTATTTTATAGATCTCTTAAGCACAGCAATTTAAGTGTAAAACATAGCTTTAGCCAACACATGTCCACACTGTATGTACTACCTGCCCATCAGTGACTCCAGGGTACTTTCACTTGTCTGATTGACTGTGGTGGTGGTGCAATACTTGAACAATGTCAGGAGCCATTTCTCCCAAAAAGTATTGCAGGGACCATTGTCCTGGGGATGTGCAGAGAGCCCCACACCCCACCTGTATTGAGAACTGTTTGTTGGCAGAGCCCACCCCACACCCAACTATCTTGAGAGCTATCTGTTAGCAGAACCTGCCCCACATTCCAACTATCTAGAGAACTGTTTGTGGTTGGAATCACAAAAGGAACGATTCTGCTTGCCTAGAGAACACTAGGTGTGTCGACTCGAGACTTGATTGTGACCATCTCTGCAAGATCCCTTCCTGCCCTGGCCATGCCCCTGCCCCCATCCCAACCCAAATTCCTCATCCAGGGGCTATATAAGCCACAACCATGAAGCTATTAAATGGAGGCTTTGACA